AAACTTAAACCCAATGGGTTTAGGGTCTAGGGGTTTAGGGGCTTTGGGGGTTTAGGGTTTAGGGTTTAGGGTTTAGGGTCTAGGGGTTTAGGGGCTTAGGGGTTTAGGGTTTAGGGTTTAGGCCCTCTAGGCCCTGATTCTAGCCTACATCGATCCTAAATCTACACATACCCTTTCCTCAAACATCTCCGGGGTGTTTCGAACTTCTTGGGAGGCATGACCGACGAGTTGAAGCACGCGTGGAAGGGCAAGGCGGCCGGTTAAGGTTTAGGGTTTAGGGCTTATAGGGTTTAGGGTTTGGGGTTTAGGGTTTAGGGTTTAGGGTTTAGGGTTGTGGAAACTTTGAGGGGATGCTTCGGCTTTGTAGTAGGGGTTTGGGGGTTCCTCTAAGGGGATCCTTAAAGGGCTCTATAAGGGATCTTTGAGGGCATGCTTCCCAGAGACTCCAAAACCTCTTAATTGAGGAATATACCTTAAATTATAATAGGGCCCCTAATATGATTTAAGGTATATTCCTTAATTAAGGGGTTTGGGAGTCTCTGGGTTCGGCTTTGTAGTATGGAGCTGGAAACCATGAATCATTTCGGGTGTACTATACCCTAAACCCTAAGCCTGAACCTGTATTCCCAAAAGTACTGTATATCGTATAATGCCTCAAGCCTAAACCCTTTTCCCCTATACCCTAAACCGAACCCTAAACCCTAAACCCTAAACCGAACCCTTAACCCTAAACCCTAAACCGAACCCTAAACCCTAAACCTAAGCCCTAAACCTTAAACCGTTTATACAATCTCAAAGGTTGACCTTTAGTTCCCCCAGGATACTCGACAAGCAAAGATTCAAAAATGTACGATTTAGGGTCTAGGGGTTTCAGGGTTTAGGGGTTTAGTTTTTAGGGTTTAGGGGCTCAGTATTTTGGTGTAGGGGCTTAGGGCTTAATTAAGGCGGACTCAATCTCCCAATCCCCAGATGCTGGGCAGGTTTCCCTTCGGTGTCAACAGCTGAACCTCGCAATTCCACAACAAACCTATAAGCCCTAAACCCTAAATCCTAAACCCTAAACCCTAAACCCTACCTATAAGCAACGTTTCAGGTGACCTTTCCCTATGTTGTGGCATTGACGCATCGGGACGAGTTCCTCCAGGCTTGCCAGGCGCTAAGTCTGCACTTGCAAGTTGCAGGACGGTTTAGGGTTTAGGGTTTGGGGTTTAGGGTGACCTATCCCACTCCGAACCTTTATAGTAGCCCTTGTAGAACCCTTCCCAGGAACCCTATTCCAATTATTAATGCTCCTAAACTGGTCCGTTGCAGGAGCTTGGGTGGAGTCTTTTGCCATAGCTGATCTGGAATGTTCTCACCACACAGTGGGTCAGGCAAATGGACTTTCCATAAACCGCAGCACGTTTCTTCAGTTGTACTCTGCGGTATATACATGTTCGGTTAAGGGAGCATTAGACTTAACATGTTGGCTTCACTAGTTCCGGAGTTGGACTGTCAGGTTTAATTTACCGTCTCAATGGCTTCCTGGCTGAGGGTGTTGAGGTTGGACGTCAGGACCAAAACAAAGCACTGGTTTCACTTCAACAGGTACGGCATGGTCGGTAAAACTGAGCACCGTGAACGCTGAATGAATGTTGTGGCATGAAGCCCATGAAAATCTCAAGCCCTAGTGAAGGGGTAAGCTTTACATTACGATTCCAGGATTCCGTATCACGACTTCCTGAGCTTATAGATGCATCATTAAAATCACGTTTTGATGGGTTAGGGTAACCCCTAAGGCTTGACCTTGTAGGTGTTTTCCTGCATGGTGAACTTAACCGGGAAACAAATCTCAACCAAACCCTATAACCCAAAAGCCTATACACCCTAAACCTAAGGCCCTGAAGAACCTCTGCTTAAGCCCACAATTTTAAGATCCCAGGCACCGAAGCCGCATCGTGAGCTCGAGGCTGCCATACAGGGCGTGCAGAAGGCGGCGAACACCAACCATGTCTCCAGGATGCTTTTCAGAGGTTTTCGGGTTACCCAAAGGCCCCATAGTAGTTCCTTTTAGGGGGTTACCTTATAGGATTTCTATATATGAACCCCAAAAGGAACTACTTTAGGGCCTATGGGTAAGCAGATCTTAACTAAATAACTCAGTCTCAAGGGTTTGAAGTTTATTGTTTTTAGCATTTCAGATGTATGAGCGTGAAAGCAATCGTTAAAGCAGAGGTAAGCAAAGGGGCGGGGCTTTCTCAGGGTTTGGGATGGCTAAGTTGATGATTGTCAGGCAGGTCCCAAAGGGTCCAAAGTACCTACTATAGTAGAATGTAGGGTTTCTATATTAGGAATTGTTATTAATGATTTGGGAAAGTATCCCCCATAACAGTATCTAGGACCCTTTGGGGGTGCAGGTTGCTGTCTCAGAGGTCTGAAACTTCGATGAGTCGTTTCACACAGCTCGCAGTCTTCTCTTTGCCACACGCAGCATTCCCCTAAACCCTAAACCCTAAACCCTAAACCCTAAACCCTAAACCCTAAACTCTAAACCCTCAAAGGTTTCTTGGAAGTCTCTTCGCCTGAGCGCCAGAAGGCCCGCTAGCCCAAAGGCCAAAGTAGAAAACACAGAATCAAGACACGGATATTTAGGGTTTAGGGTTTAGGGTTTATGGTTTAGGCCTTGACCTCCCCCTAAACCGTAAAACCTAAACCCTAAACCCTAAACCCTAAACCGAAGGCTCCTGACACCAGTTCATGTTCTCAAAGCTGTTGAAGTCTCAGGTCTTTGCCCTGACAAACTACAAAAGGGGATGTGCGGCCAGCCGGCGTGTCAACGAGGCCGGCCACAGCACTCTGAACACTATATAGACCCTAAGCCCCCAAAACTTCCACACCCTGAAATGTTGTGGATTTGCAACTCGGAGTTATGCAATACCCGCGCCAAGGGCGTTGCGACATGTTTCCAAAGCTACTGCTTGTGGCGGGGTGCAGCTCCCTCTGCATGTCTCCACAGCTGCCGATGCTACCAAGACTTGACAATCATAGCCACCATCGCTTCTGCAGGATGGAATCAGTACATAAACACATTTAGAGGGGGGAATGAACTGCTGAAGCTGCTCCTGAGAACTCCTTGGTCTGAGTGTTTGTGTAGACAATTCGTACAGGGCAATGGGAAGCAGTGTCCCGGGCCAGGCAACATTCCAGCTACTGTCGCAGCTGATCACCTTTGTGGACAAGGAGATTTGTCACCGACATATGTTTAGAGCCCCAAAACAAGGAATCTACTGGCATACGTCTCCAATACAAGGCCCCGCCCCTAAACCCTAAACCTTAAACCCTAAACCCTAAACCTTAAACCCTAATCAAACCCTAAACCCCAAACCCCAAACCCTAAACCGGCGAGACCACATGGGCCAATGCAGGAGCCCGAGAGTTCTTGCTCCACTGCTTATGCCGCGGCTTCCAAGAGCACACGGCAGTGGGCGAAGACCCTGCAACTTGAGCAATGTGAGATGGGTTTAGGGGATTTAGGGTTTAGGGTTTAGGGTGCAGTCTTATGGAACTGACGAGTTCGATTTTGGTCATTGTTCTCCAGAAAGCGCAAGTGCAAACAACAAGCAGATGCAATGACTCCAGGGTAGCAGACTGCCCAAGGCCCAAGCGGAGGAGGGCCCACGTTGGAGGCACGAACTTGTCGACGAGGGTTGCGAGTCATCTTTGTATCACTCCACACCCAAGCCCGACAAGCCCTAAAACAGCCCCAAAAACCCTAAACCCGGATTTTAAGCCCGAAAAGCCCATAGGCCCTAAAATAGTTCCTTTTGGGGGTTACCTTATAGGATTCTTTATATGAACCCCAAAAAGAACTACTTTAGGGCCTGTGGGTAGACCGTCTGCTGCTCAATGATGCGTGCTTCGAGAAACCACCTCCTGCGGAGGCTTCTTCCTAGCTGCCCTGGCGTTCGTGGCATATGGTCGCCTGGTCAGCTTTCGGTTTAGGGTTTAGGGTTTAGGGTTCGTTCAATGCCAGTCAATGCAGACCTAGATGTCTCCAAAACACGTTTTGGATTGTAAGGACTGTTCCCGCGCAGCTTCGCAGCCGTGGGTCCGTGAGTCACAGACTATGGAGAACTGGTTATGAGCCAATGTACCAGGACCCTGTTTGTAGGGTTTAGGGTTTCGGGTTTAGGGTGTAGACGGCCTCTGATGGTAGGTACTTAGGGTCTAATCGAGGATCGATGGAGGGTCGAGTCAAATGCAGATTTCTCGGTGTGTTTGTTTGCTTATGCATGGCTTTCTTAGTGTTGATTTCTTCTTGTCTTTGGTTCAAGCTTTTAGTTCCGTTGCTTCAACTGCTGCTACTTTGAAGTTTCATAGGGTGCGGCTTCAAAGACTTCGGTCAGGTTTTGTTCTGTATGGGGATTAAAGTACGGTCTGGGCATGGACCTTGAGCGGCGCAGGAGAGAGTTATCAGCTGGTCGCTGGGCTTTGCCGGCTGTCTTGCGTTGGGCATTGCTTGGAGACGGATTCTCCAGTAGATGCAAGGTTGCATGCAGCATGCCTCAGAGCGCTACGAAAGAACATGTTTTTCGTTCGAGCACCGTCAGAGTGCTTGTCATAATCCTAAACCCGATCGAAACCCTAAACCCTAAACCCCTTTCCTATCGAATAGGCCACTGTCCCGATGTTGCGTAGCCTACATGCGTATATCCGGACGCCTTACGCCGTCTGGAGGCATGTTCGGCACATGGCGGCATGGTGCAGAAAATTGCGTACGCAACACATTCGGTTTTCAGAAGATGAGGCAATTGCAATATTAAGCCTAGAACTAAGCATACATACTGAAATCGTATGTAGGACTTTGGGTAGAATGTTCTCTGGAAGCCGAGCCGCAGCGGCCCAGCCAGGGATGTGAAAGAGTGGTGTCCACATAAGCAACTACGTGTATACATATCGACATACGGCATATATATATATATATGTATATATATATATATACATCGCATATATATATATATATGCGCACATGTGTGTATACAGCATATATATATATATATATACACATATATATATAGGTATATGTAGGTATACTGGTCTCGAATTTCGACACATGGCTTCGGGCTGAAGGCCTAGGGCGGATGTCTACTGTGTCATTTATTGCAAGCATCTTGCTGAATGGCCGCGGGCATAAACTGCAGCCGACAACCACATCCTTTGAGCAATCTGCTTTTGCCGTCCATGCCTAATTCAATGTCACTCCGTATATAGTCTTGCAGCTGGTCCATTGTGATAGCCTCGTGATGCGGAAGCTGAGCTCTAAGCGTGAGTCCAATTGCCTGTACTTGGCCGCCTGCTTGTTTTGGCAGGGCCCTGCATTCAAGAAGCATGGAAACCAAAGTCAAAGGACGGAAGCAGATCGAAAGGTGTGCGATTCCAGTGTTTAGAGACCCTCAAGCCTAACACCCTAGTCTTGGGATGAAGAAATCGTGAGGCTGCACAGCCAGGCTGTCCAGACTTGGAGGGTGCAGTATGGATGCCCATCCATTGTGACAACGGCTGGGGGAGCTCCCTGACAAGTGTGTGGCTTACGGCCTAAGAGCCAAGATGTTTAGGTTGGGTGTTGTAGCCAGCCGACAAGAAGTTCGACGCCAGGTCAGCATAAACTCTTTCCAGGCCGTGTCAACAGTATTTTGCGCTCATGCTGTGCAGCGAATGAAACCTGGTAACAGCTCGGAGTGCGATGAGGTATACGGAATTGTCTGCAGGACTTCTGTTGTGCACATATCCCTGAGAGCGGAGCTGCTCAGCGGTCTGTAGTACGGACAAAGCGCAATGCTCCAAGTACTTAAAGGATCATGGGACCTTCGTAAGTAGGGTTATAACTAAGGTAACTATACTTATAACCCCAACTAAGGGACTTATAACCTTTACTTACAAAGTCCCATGATCCTGAAAGTATAGTGGCAGGACGAATAATTCGTGGAGATGTCTAGAAGGGAGTGCAGTGCCTGAGAGAAAATCGAAGCGGAAGTCCGGCAGAAGTAGTACAAGAACCCTCAAACTAAGCAAGCTTGGTAGGCCCTTGTGTTTAGAACGCTGGGAGTTCTTTGCTGAATCCCTGTTCGAGGAAGCCCTGATGAGCAGAACCCAAAGGGATTGTTCTGCCTGGTCTGAGAACCCTATACCCTAAACGTTCAAGGTTTAGAGTTCAGGGTTTCGGGGTTCAGGATTTATAGGGTTGAGGGAAGCTACAAAAATTTCAAAATGTTTAAGCATTTCCTCCCCAGAAGAGGATACCAGGCACTCGAGCAGGCTCGGAGGTTCAGGCAACAGGTAGCCCTGTAGCTTCGCTACAACGCTTTCTTGCGCTTCGCCGGTACCACGGCAAAACCTCCCAGAATAAGAGCACCGCCCAAAAAGGAAGCTTCAAGGACACAGCCGGAAAGATATACATCAACACACATAGCACGTGTATATTTGCACGATATGCCTTTGAGCATGCAGCTCCCTCAACATCTATGTGCAATCAACACACTAAACCCCTAGCTCTCTGTCTCAGGCGTGGTTCCAGAGCTTGGCGCTCGCGGCCAAGAAGTTTGCCGAGCGAAAAGACCGTCTTCGATGCCTACAGAGCTCTTTGTGCCAAGTTGTTGGATTCATGCAGTGTTGGCTTGTTTTGTTGAAGTGTCTTGTGGCAAAGCCGCCCGTGCGTGGGAACAACGGCAAGGAACAACATGCTTGTCCTGCTGCGAGAACAGAGCCTCTTTGCAGAGATCGGCTCAGAGCCGTAGTGTCCTCGACATCCAGTCTCCAGCTGTGATAGTGGCTAGCCCGGCTTGTAGCAATGGGCGTGCAGCATCAACCGCGCGTGACAGTGGAGCTTCAGGGCGACCGGAGCCTCGTGATCCGCTGGAAGAATCTCATGAACGACACCGATGCCAGAGTGAAGTTTGAGTACTACGACCCGGCGGGCCCGATGGTAAACCCGCGGGCTAGAGCATCAGAGCCATGCAGTGGCTCGGCCATGCACTTGTCAGAGCCTGTCGGTCCTGAGGCTTGCACTCTCAGAGTCTTCTTGGAAATTGATGGCAAGGTCGTTGCACAGACCCAGACCACCTGGGACCACCAGTTCCCAAGCAAGGAGAAGTGCAACAGTGATCTGCATGCCCGCGCCGAGATTCTCTATGAGCAGCTTCGGTCACAGGACCAGGCTCCCAGATCCAAGCGAATCTTGGTCGTCGGAGCCCAGCACCACGGCAAGTCCAGCTTCATAAATCATGTCTATCGCTGCTTGATGAAGGACCTAGACTCCTCATTACAATGATAATATAATGGGGCCCCAAAACCCTATTCTAATTATTATAAGGCCCCTACATTACCCTAAGCCCTAAACCCTAAACCAATTTTAACCCTAAACCGTGGACCCAAAACCCTGTTCTAGTTATTAGGGCCCCTAGATTACCGCTGCTTCATGAAGGATGTGGATGCCAACGACCAGATGGAGTCGGCTCCTGCTGGCGTGGCCGAGAATACCCAAGCCATCCTTGAATGCAAGGTCGCAGGGCTGTCTTTCCTCGACACGCCAGCCATCCCCAACATGAGCAGTGAGATGGCGAAAGCTTTCGAGGCTCTGTTGAAGAGGAAGGTGGCTGATGGTACTCGACGCGCAGGCATGGAGCAGCGTCAGTCGTGGTTCTTCGATGGATATCCTCCCGCTGCCGCCATCGTGGTCATGTCGCTTTGCCACTGGCGCGACCAGCCAGACGAAATGCAGCGCTACTTGGCCGAAATGTCGAACAAGTTGAAGCATGCATCCGATGGACGTGTGGTTTTCCCCTTCGTTGTGGCCGCCACGCATCGTGACGAGTTCCTGCGCGACTGCACGGCCGAGAACCCATACGAGGACTTGAAGAAGGTTGTGGAGAGCATGAAGAAGGCAGCCAATTGCAGCCATGTTTTTGCCTTTGCGAGCTACCAGCGGGCCAGCAGGGGCAGCAAGTTCATGAACGAGCAGACATTCCAGCTTTTGTCGCAGCTTCTTACGTATGCCGCCCATCAAGACACCGGAAAGGTAGTAGAAGCACAGAATCAGAGTATTAGTTTCGTATTATTATTAGTGTTGGCCGTGATAGCCGTGTTTGTTGCCTGCTTTGTTGCGCTAATGCCACAAGGCCAAAATTCAGAGTCATCTTGGCCATAGCATGCCTGTGTGCGGTTATGATAAGTGGTCTGCACCCAGCACACGCCTGGGCAAGTTGTAGTACGACAGGACCACATTTGCCAATCACGTTCATGGTTGGGCACGCGGCAAGCACCATTGTTTGGCAGATGTACTCAGAATCTTGAACATGCTTCATGTGTCTTCATGTTCCTGCACTGCACCATCTCGCTTGTTGCACGTGCCTGCCGCTCAATCAGTGCTACCCATTTGCATGGCTTCCGTGAACCTGGGAAGACAGTACTTACAGTACCCTGCCATGGTACCGCAGTTGGGCAATTGACCTCTCGTCCCTCTCCTTTGTTTGTGGAAGCCTTGTTCGAGGAGCCCACCCTGTTCCGCATGCCATCGGCATTGCAGCTGCTTGAACCTGGCTTCCACGCAGCATTGTAGTTATCTCAGTCGCCTCGTCCAAATTTCGGCAGTTTCCAGCAGTCGCTTCCACTGCAAAGAGACGGCGCGAGACTTTGCAATAATAGCCTTGCGTGAAAACTGAGCCTTAGAAGCAGCATTAGGTTTTGTAGTTTGCTTTTGTCTCTGCGAGATTGTATATACGGACCCTGCAGCCACCATGCTTGTCGAAGGCCAAGGGCCCCCTGCTCTGCGGATAGGTCTCTGCAGCAATGGCATTGCACGTATAGCCGTGGAGCTGCAGGCTGCGACGCAATGAGATGCAATCGGAGCCTGTGATCCATCGGTGTCATGAACGAGCCCAAAGCCGCAGTGAAGCTTGAGTACTACGACACAGTCGGCCCGATAATGGAGCCCGAGGTCGCAGTGCAGCAGTCCTGCCGTGGCTCGGCCATGGAACTGCAGTCCGTTCCGGACCAAGACCCACGAACCCGTTCGCATGATCCGAAAGCCTATTAAGCCCCAAACCCGCGAATCCCTCAAACGATGACCGGCGTGTTGTTGGTGGGCAGGCATTCATCTTTGTCAACGGTCCCAGGCCCCACTCGAGTATTCAAGATGCAGACCGGAATCGTGTGCAACAGCAGACCCGAGAGCCAAGCCCCTAAACTTTAAACCCTAAGCCCAAAACCGAGTCTGAAGCACTTGCCCCTGAGTTCATATCCCAGGTGACATTCGTTTCTGAGGTGGCCTTGACACATCATGTCCTCCAAAGGCGCTTTGCCATGTAATATAGGGGCCTTAATAATAACCTGTATTACTATGGAGGGTTCCTTATTATTAATGTAGTACAAACATACCTCAAAACCCTATTTTTTCTTATTAAGACCCCTACATTGCGCTTAGTGTTAGGAGCATGCACGGAGCCCTGATGAGGTTGGGCATGCACAGTGGCAGCAAAGTTTGGTGTTTGCAGATCTCTATCTTTTGCAGTGTGCAGGGTGTGTCCACGAACGTTGTTGGCCGGTGAGTCGTGAAGTCCTTGTAGCTATTCCTAGTTGCCCACAAGTCGAAGGTGGCGTGAAGCAGCTGACACGCACAAATTGAGGCTGCAATTAGGTCTCAAACCCCCAAGGAGATTTTACAACATAACGCAGACTGCATACTATAGGGCGTGATAAGTGCCAATACTATGTGGAGGTTCCTTATTTCAACTATTAAATAAAATATACCCCAAACCTTCCCCACCAAGGCCCCTACATTAACTCCAAACCCTAAACCCTAAACCCCCTTTTGGGGTACAGCCCACCAAGGCCCCTACGTGAACCCCCCTAAACCCCTGAACCCCTAAACCCCAAGCCGCTTTGCGAGATCGAGGCTGCCCTTGCGGCTGTGCAGAAGGCGGCGCCAAGGATGTCTCCAGGATGCCTTTAATCTTAGGGCTACTTACAAATAATTCTTAATCTTTGGCTACTATAAACCCTAAGAAGCAGCTAAGATTA